AAGTCGTAGATGAAGAAAATCTAAATTCGAAATGCAAATCCGGAGAAATACACAATCAATAGACTTCAAAACTCCACCAACTATAGAAGAAATGAATGAAACTATATAAGTAGCTATAATTATGATTTCAAGTAATAATATTATGAATATCAATACAACTTGCATTACAAATTTTCTAATTTTTGGTATAGGATCTTTAAGTAGAAGAAAAAGAGGGCAAACAATAATGAAAAAAGTACATACACGAGCCATTAAAGATAGAAAGCTTATTTCCCTAAATGAAGCAAACCAATCAATAGGCTCGATGATAAGACTTTGAATGAGTTCAATAGCTTTTTAAGAACATTAACCCAAAATGGGAGTCTCGCACCATTGAATCATGTTAATTGGCGGAATATGCAAACTAAGGAAGCATTATGGGAATATATTCCAGTAAGTAATTCAATTCGTATCTCTTTCTATTTCTCTCTTTGTATTGGCATAATTTTCTCGCCTAATACATGTAAATTGATTTGATATTAAATGTTAATTCTTTCTCATTTTTTAATGCTAATGCCAACCGTATTTTTTAATATAGAAAAAATAAATAGTTCTTCCGAAGGCAAGAAATGGGTTTTGGCCACGGTAGGAGATAATTCAAGGTTGTACAAATGCTAGTTAAAAAATGATCACTATCACAAGTACAAAACCGACAAACTTAGAATGCTAAACCGTCCAAAACACATTCCGGATGATAAGTTTAGAGAATTGTTGAAGTATTGGAATTTAGATAATGTCAAGGTATAAGAGTTTTTAAATTTTGTCACTACTACTTTATATTTTGTTTATATCATCAAAGTTTATTCTAATGTTGTTAATTGAAATTATTATATAGATAATGACAAATATAAATATTGAAAATTGCAAACGACAAAAGAATATGCATGCAATGGGTAAAAAGAGTTTCACTAGGATAAGAAAGAAATTGTTACCTTATGAATCTGAATATTCTTGTTAAATTTCTTACTGAAATTACTGCCTTCTTGTTAAATTACTTGTTGAAATTGCTATCATCTTGTTAAATTTCTTACGAAAATTGCTGAAATTTCTTGTTAAATTTCTTATCCTAGTCCAATGGTGGAGCATATGGTATGTTCTTAAATTACATGGTGTATTATTGGTTAAAAACACTTACATTGTATTATCAAAAAACACAACAATAAGAATGAAATTTACCCTGTATGAGATTTTTTTATGGTTATGTGGGTCATATCTATCACATGAGGCCTCCTTGCAAATGGTAAAGAGCCAAAGAGGTTACCAATCAAGCTGAATGAACACTTCTTGGTAACCAAACCTCACTTCAGTGATCCAAATTAAGATTAGAAAAAAAGAAATTGGTATGAAATGTTGGCAAAAGAATATTCATATGGCTTTTTATTAGTTGGATTCTTTTACATCTCCTTCTCATCCATGAACCAAAGTAGAATTGTTTTTGTATGGGCCTGTGAGAGAGGGAGAAACAAAGAGAAAACTCTTTGTGAATGGCTGAATGTGTGGAAGATTTCGGCCTATGAGTGTCTTTTTTCTATTTCTAAGTTTCTAAATGAATTATGCTCCAAACTCCGGAGAAAAATTTTAGACTCGACACCAGATTACAAATGAGCTCTTACAAGCCCACATAGGATTATGGCGTACAAAGGACTCTCTTCTGATTTCTAGTGACTATTGGACTTCCCAAAAGAAGTCCAACAATATTCCTCTTCAAAACTAATGGATCCCATCCTGGGGTCTAACATGTCTTAGCCCTCCATAGCCATTTCCTAAAATTCCTTGAACCCTCGTGTGATCCTTTTGTTCAAGCTTCATTGCTTAAAGATACTATGTCTTAGAATTCCTTGATTTCTAGTTTGTAGGTGGCAGTTGCATTTCCATTATTTAAGCTATGATCATTTTTTCGGTTTTTTTTTTTTTTTTTTTTTTTTTTTTGGCTATGGTAGGCTTTACGTTTACCTTTCAACATATATAGTCCAGAAACGTGTCATTTTATAGTGAATGCATGATTTAATTGATAAGTGAATATATTTTATGCTATCAATTTGAGCTTTAAAAAGCTTTCTTAACAAATATTCCTTAGTTCTCTATGGAATAAAATGGTAATGGATCATGATTTTGGTTTATTTTGGAGTTAATAGTGGAGGATATGGAACTCCTATTTCCAAGAATCTGGGTAGCTTTAGGGTGAACTTTGTTTTAATGTGGAAGATTCGAGTCTTATTACATCTGTTAATTCAAACTGCAGCTAGTAAGAGTGTCTTATTCAAAAGTGCATTGCTATAGAATTGATGGATTAAGGACATTACTAACTACTGTTTGAATTCATTATATATAGTTGACTAGTTGCAGACCTTCCACAAAATTTCTTTTTCTATTGGCAGTACTGATCAAAATTATTGATTTTCTGTATCTTCCCTAAGCACCAGCTCGGTTTGACCTCAGTATAATAATGGCTTTACCTTTAGTTTAAGAAAATGACATACATGCATAGTTTGAGATTTAGAAAGCCGATAAAACTTGTGAGTTGACTAAGTAGATCTTTTAAATTCTCATATTTCATAAACTTGCAATTCTATCCAAATATAAATCTGATATATATTAGTTCAAGTTATTGTCAGTACAAGATATATCTTCACTTCATTAAATTTATTATTGCTAAAATTTTTCTTTTGATAAGCAACAATATGCAAAGAAAAATAAAGAAGAACCAACCTATTCCGAAATGTTTATTGAAACTCGAAAAAAAAAGTTAGATATTCTTATAAGGAATCGGATGAAGATACGATTACCAAGATTGTTAGAACTTTCAATATTTAATTTCCTTATATTTACAATTTATAAAAAGAGTTTTGAATTGCTTTATCATGTATTGTATGAACTGCATTTTTAAGAAACTTATGATTTCATTATAGGCTCAAATGGGAGAAGTGAAGTCTCAACATTCAAGTGAAAGTGATGAATCTGTTTATGCATTTTCTATGGTGATAGAAGGCGGGGTGCGACCTAGACGTGTTATGTTATATGGGAGGGCTGTCACACCATTTGATTTGAAAGGCAAGGCGGACCTTCGTCAATCATCCATGAAAGTACCTAAAGATTTTATAAATGCTATCAAAATAGATGTAGAAAAAAAGTGCGGTAAGAAATTACATAAGAAATGAAAACAAAAACGGAAGAAAAGCTAGAAGAGCGAAAAGCTAGTTTGCATCAAGAAATAACGTTATTAGTCCCGACACGACTCCAAGATTTAAACCCAAGCCTAAATGTGAATCCTAAGACGTTCAAGACATTGGCTGTAATTACTCGATCCCTAGGAGATGCTAATAGCGCACCAAATATAAGGAATCAAATAAGGGATTCACATTCATCGGGCAACAACCATAATCTTTAGGTACTCTACTAATTTTTATATCTCGTTATTTGATAAAAACACAAGTTCAATTATTGCAATTACTGTATTTTTTTGCTAATAAATCTTCTTCTTTTTTCCTAAAATTAAAATATGAATCGATTAGTTCCATTATATCAATAATATTTGAAATTAATTAATTAATGTGCAAATATTGAAATTATATATATTACCTTAGATGTTTGGCATCGAGGCCACCTTCTCTCCATATTTTATACATGGATGGTCATCGTGGGTGGGCTAGTGAACGTAGCGACCATTGTCCTTGTGGGAGAACGTTTTCTGCAAGTAATAAAACACAATTTTATTGCTAGGACGCAATTAAAAAAAAAAAAAGTTATTAGAGATCATCACTTAATTATGGAATCAATTATCTACTTCAGTATTAATATTATTTATTTATTCTAATAACTCGTAACATATTCAAATAAAAATATGCAACAATTTTTTTTTTTTTAGAATAAAAATGGAACCAACTATCTAACCATGATAGTAAATTAATTTTGAGAACTAGGGGACTAAATATATTGTCCACTCAAAAGCAAAGATACCTTCTTTGTTTCTTCTTATCCTAACCTGCAACTTGTGTTCTTTTTTTAATTTTTATTTTCTTCTTAAGCAAGAACACTAGCGCCCGAGTCTAAAAGAAGTTATAACTACGTGCAGCACATTGGTTTAAAACTATCCCAGCTAATCAATCAAGATCTTTTCACCTAAAGAGAGAAATGAATACTAATATACATCTTAAATCTTTCTACAGAATTAAATGACAAAGACACTCACGACTAAATTACCTCAAATCGCATACATTACCATCTTAACTTTAGTAAATTATGTCTCTTATATTAATTTGGTTTTTTTTTTAATATATATATATATTTGGCAAATACATCTCATTAATTAATATTTATATTTCGAATTTGTCCTTGATTTTTAACATTTTTTAGTGAATCATTTAAAAAAATTATAAAGTATGCATTAATTATAATGAATATTTGCTAATATTTAATTAACTAGCATAATTGGACACTTAACTTTATCAAATTAACACTTGATTTTGTAATTATTTACTTAATTCAACACTAAAATGTCAAAAAAAAAAACAGTCAACCTAAAAAATTAAGTCGTCAAGGTCGAAACAAGAATCGACAATGATTCCCAGCCTCTAAAATATATAGAAGAGTATCATATTGAAGCATTCAAGATTCTACAATAAAAACTGGCAACAAATTTCTAAAGAAATATCAAAATAGAATTTTGGATTTAAAAGTCGAGATTTTTCTATTTTCAGGGGCTTTTTTTCTTGGTCTAATAAAATAGTGTGTAGAAAAAATTATTAGAAAGAAAAATCGACTTGCAATGATGGCCAAGTAAAATGCTAGCAAATTATTATAATGAGGGTGCTTCAGTCTGTAGGAAGTTTTAGTTATAGAAATCTTTTTTTTTTTTTTCCCTTGAATTTTACTCAAGTACAAGTTTCAATTCTTTAGAGTTTATTTTCAATTTCGTTTACTTGAAGTGGATGATTAGTGGAGGGAAGGAAAAGGAAGTAAGATTACCTTTTCCACAATCGAGATCCAGATGAATTGGCAGCAGATGATTCTGATGATGGACTATATAACAAAGAGACACCACAATTCTTCACCTTTACTCGATCATAAGAATGAAACGACAACTCAATGTTGCTGAAGGATTCATGCTGCCATTCTTTGAGCTCTTTAAGGTAATCAAAAGAAAGATAGAATAACCAAAGATGATCTGACAGAACTTGGATAGAGTTGCAACTTATACACATCAGCGAAGGATAATTCTCTCTTCCATTGGCTTTAAAATGACAAAAGAGAGAAGAACTTTCATTGTATGCACTGAATGCAACACATGCAGCAAACCCCATCGGCCCACTACCATCACAATCCAAATATTTAGAAAGCACTTCCACACTAATTGAAGATCCCTCACTTTGATGGTTAAACCAGCCTAGAATTTCATGTCCTGGAACAACAATACCAAATCCAGGTCTTGGATTAGACGAGCCCTGTACCATAAAACAAAAAAGTCACAGAGAGAGAGAGAGAGAGAGAGAGAGAGAGAGAGAGAGAGAGGTGGGGTCATGATGACGAGAAGACCTGGAGGTATCTCTTAAGCATGGTCAATCCCATGCTGTCTTGGCCATTATGCTTGTATAATTCCCAGCAGTTAAGACAGTTGAACTCTGATCTTTTCAAACTGCTTAGCTTTATTGGATCTGGTACTTTTTTTAGGCGTCTACAACCATTCAAATTTACTGTTTGAACTTTTGATGGAACCTCAGCCAATGATTCAAGCATCCTGCAGTCCTCCAAGGCAAGTATTTCCAGCCTAGAAAGCTGATTTAGGCTTTTAGGCAGGCTAACAAAGTTATTCCTGCTCAGATCTAAACACCTCAATGAAGATAAGCAGCCAATATCTTCAGGAACTGCCCCTTCTCCTAGATTGCAAGCACATAAATCCAGCACTTCTAAAGAACACAGACCAGACAAAGAAGGCAACACTTTATCCGTGGGATTTACAGCAATTCTTGTGCATCCATCAAAAGACAATACTTTAAGATTCTTCAAAAGAAAAATGGACGCTGGCGGTTGTCTTATTGAAGTTCCACTTACATCAACCTCCTCCAAACTTTCTACTTTCCCCAAATTTTCTGGTAAGTTTTTAAGTTTAGAGCAGCCAGACACATCAAGTTTTTTAAGGGATTTCAAACCACTTATGCCACTCCGGATACTTCCAAGGTTCTTACAATTTTTCATGCTCAATAGACCTAACCCAACCAAATGATGAATTGATGAAGATAGTTCTGCAATCCCAGTCCCGTCCAAATGAAGCTCCATCAAACAGCTCATGTTTTCTGCAATATCTGGAAACTTCTTAAGTTTGGAGCAGCCATCCATAGTGCAAACTTTAAGAGATTCCATTTCAAGGCTGCTTGGGAGAATCCTAAGACTTTTGCAGTTCACAAGATTCACGTATTGAAGCTTCTTGTGATGTCCAAGTGATGGATGGACCTCAGACAAACTTGTACAACCTTCAAGAATCAGACTTGAGAGATTTGGAATTCCAGTAAAATCAGGAGTCTTGGTCAGGTTTAGTGAGTAGCTAAGATTGATGGTTTTCAAATTAACTGAACTCTGCAATCAAGACAGGGGAGAAAAGGAACAGTAAATGGTACTATCGGACATAATATATAAAAACGGAAAAAAAAATACAAAGGCCCTTAAATTAGTGGGTCTTACCTTAAACCCATACCATAAATGCTCAATACTACTGTATGACATGTCAAGTTCAACTAGGTAATCCAGCTGGAAACAAGCTGGCAATGATTTTGAAGGGTAAGCATGCCATTCAAGAAATCGTAACTCATTTGAAAGATATTCAGGTCCTTCAGAAAGCAGCACATTGTGGATTTTGAGCAATCTTAGTTTGCTCATTTTTGAGAAGGCTTTCATGTTCCATTGTGCGTCTTTTATTCCAGTCATGTCCAAGAATATGCTTTCTATTCTATCGTTTCCCTACCAAGCAAAATGAAGGATAAGTAAAAAGCAAATACAAAGCAGAGATGGAGCATTGAAAATAATAAACCTTATGAAATCTTTTGGATAATGTTTTCTATCAACTACTCACTGTGTTTTCCATCAGTGCAAGCCAGACATCCTTGTATGCCCACAATCTACTGCGTCTTCCAGGCTCTTCAGGTGATTCGCAACGAACAATTTCCTTGCCCATTATCTGTAATAAATTATGCATCCACACTTCATCCCGTGAGACGCTTATAAGAGATTTCTCAATAAGAACTTGTATTCCAATATTTGCATGGAAACCACAGCTGTCAAGTATCCTTGTTATTCGATCTTTTTTCATCCCCTTAAAGAAACAAGCAATATCTAAAAATATTTCCTTCTCTAATACATGGAGGCCATCAAAACTAATGCGAAGCACATCAATAATTTTCCCATAAGGAATGTCATTCAGTCTATTAATTGCACTTTCCCATTGAATTATACTTCTTCCATACAAAAATGAACCTATGACTTCAAGAGCCAACGGAAGACCATTAGAATAACCCACAACTCGCTTGGACAGTTCCATGAAATCTGCTGAAGGTTGGTCCTTTTTGAAAGCTTTCCAGCTAAATGACATAAGAGCATCATCATCATTTAATTTCTCAGCCCCATAAATTCTACAAAAACCATGTCTCTCTAACACATTTTTATTTCTGCTCGTGATGATAATTCGACTCCCTGGACCAAACCATCCATGCTCTGCAGCCAATATTTGTAGTTGTTCTAGTTCATCCACATCATCAAGAATAAGAAGAACCTTTTTAAGCCGTAACCTCCGCTTTATCAAATCAATCCCTCTAGTAGCATCCCATACATTAGCACGTTCCATTAAGATTTCAGAAAGAAGTTGTTCCTGCAAACGACGTGGTCCATCTTTCTCCACAAAAACATCTCTCACATTTGCTAAGAAGCAGCTGCCTTCAAATTGCCAACGAATCCTATCATAAACGACTCTCGCAACAGTCGTCTTGCCCAAGCCACCCATTCCACAAATCCCTATAAAGAGAATATCATTTGCTTCTTCACCTATATAACCATTCAATACCTGGAGACGAGAATCTATTCCAACTAAATTTTTGCTAATTGTTGGCAAAATGACGCTTAGTTTATACCATATATATTCAACAATTTTCTTTATTGTTTCCGACTCATTCCTGCATGAAAGGAAAAAAATACATACATATTCATCAAGTAGCGTGCAAAAATAGGGTTTTTTCTCTGTAAGGGGGAAAAAAATCATAAAATCTTGTTATTTGTAAATGCATGGATAAATTAATAAATCAACAACAGGTGATCATTTGACAAACAAAAGGCACTGATAATCTCCTCAAGAATGAGGAAAATAAAGTCAATTGAAAAGGAACTAGAATTCAATTGCTGCTGAGAATGAGCCTTATAATAGCTACCTTCATTACATATAGAAACACACAATCACTAAAGAAGCATGTAAATAAGAACATAAGCTAGGAAAAAGCCAATAATAACAGGCAAAGACCAAAACAAGTTCTATCATATTTTTTGTCAACCACCAAGTTATCTTTTATTTATTTTTACTTTTTCCCAAAAACAAAATGTTCAATTACTTTAAAATTCTCAATTTGCCTCTCAAATATGACTTATCATATGATCATTTAATCATTTACTTTTATATAAGAAATTTTTAGATTTTAAATTGCTGAACTTTTCTAAATGGTTCTTTAACCTATAGTCATTGGCAATCATTTATCACATCCATTAAAAGACTAAATAGCCATCCAATAGTTCTTCAATCATTTCGTCACTTGTCAAGCTCATAATGAAAACTCAACCACTTCAATTTATAATTGTAGATGGATCGACAATGAAACATGGATAGATAACTTATAGATTGATAAATTAGATATAGATAAACATTGCCTTTAGCATTCCCTCACAAAATAGTATGAGACAGTAAGAATTCTAGAGGTGGCTCCTACAAGTTCCAAGGTATAGCACTTTATCCCGCATAGCACTTAGCACCCACAATTTCAGGTAAGGTCAGCTTTGATATCTTTATGTCACACCCGAAACTCGGGGACGAGACCCGATGCCCAACCTAAACAACCGCAAGGCCCATAGTTGTAACACTGTTTTGGGCTTATTATCCTTACAGTTCAAAAGGAACTTCTTGTAGCGTATATTCTGAAATTGTTCCTTACATAAATTTCTCATTAGTCAATGATATGGGATATCACATCAACACTCCTTAAAAAAATTCAACAGGAATTTACTTGAACAAAATCAAGAAACAGTACTAGTACTCCTTGGTGGTCTCACTTTTTAAATGGAATTGAATTCTAACTTGTTTGCATGGAAGTTTGAGAAAGAGATCAGGTATAGACCAGTAGTTTTATCGACTTCCCTGCTATGTGAATCATATAGTACCCTACTATGTCATTTGTACATTCAATGGTGTATGCTATGGTGATTGGTATACTATAATTGGTTCCATATCCCCACTTACCTCTTCTGTCTTTGTGTGTGTACGGACATTCTAAGCTATAATTTATGAAATTGATCGTGTTACTAATTTACTTGACATCTATGAAGCATGACTATTTCACAATTCCTCACGTATCTGTATCAAGCTTGTATCAAATATGTTACTTGACCTAATACTTGCTGAAACATATTAGATACTCTTCACATATATCCAAAATAATAAATAATAAAAGATTATTTTGGATTTTTGGGAATAATTTAAAAAAAAAAAATCTCTCAAATATGTATCTGAAACCTTACTAATTCTTGCTAATACTGTTTTATCACCACAAAAATTAGTGCAATATTTTAATTTTTACATTATTAAATCAAAGTTTAAATGGATAACAAGGGATAAATATTGATGAAGGAAATAAAATATGTGACTTCAACATTCTTATTATAGGTGTTCAAAACTAATATGTAGTTTTCTATATTTTAACTACATCTATTAATTTTAATACCTACAATTTATATCTTTTAAAAAATAATAGAATAGATATTAATAAATATATTAAAACTATATTGTTTTTTATATAATGTATCCATAACATAGGCATAACAGTATAACAAAATTTAAGAGTTAAAACTTTGTTGTATCCATATCATGGTGCACTCATATTCGTGCTTCCTAGTTTGAAGATTATTATTTTTAATATAGTTGGTTTTTTTGATAATGCTGTCACTTTAAAGCTTTCTTGTATTATTTTTTATCTTTTTATATTTTTGAATGAAAAAAAAACACACCAATAATATATTTCAAAAAATATGTCGCATCAAAACCATTCACAGTACCAAATAGTTAATACAATTATTTATGTACATTAGGTCGAGGTGGCATGGTTAGTCATGAAAAATTGTATCGAGTTATAATGCAAATCTAAATTTGCTTAGTTCAATTATGTAGAAATTAGGAATTACATTAAATTACAAGTAATTTAATATTTAGTACTATGGTAAAATATTTACGAAAGGTGAGACTTTATGAACTAATTAAGGATTAATGTATGAGAAAAGATAAGTTGATCAAATTACTATATTAACCAATAGCACTTACTTTTTCTTCTTCTCTTATGTTCATGTGAAATATTTCTCAATTTTAATATGATAATAATTCTTTAGGGTTTCTAAAAGAGTGTAGAATCATTGTATTTGAATTGCTGCATCGAATAATAATTTTTAAATGGGCACCGTAGATAGATAGAGACATAGTTAGATCACCTGCTCCGTAAATCCCAACCAGATAGATTCGCCACTGTAGTGAGACAATCTTTCCAGCTTTGCACCTTCTCCAAATTTTCCGAGAAATTTTCTTCATGATCAATGAAGGCCTTCTCATAATTCCCTTTCTGCTCGGCTACCTCTGATGGATCCACGTCATAGAAAATTGGCAAAACAGTGTGCCCCATTTCTTTCATGCATTGAACAATCTTGGCAAGTTCATCTAAGCACCATGGCGAAGATGCGTAATATCTTGAAAATACGATGACTGAAAACCTTGATTCTTCAATGGCCTTCCAAAGAGAAACTTCGATGGTCTTTCCTCTCACTAGGTCCCTATCATCCATGTATACATCAATGCCTCTGTGTGCCAGATTAGTATATAGATGGCTAGTAAAGTTATTCCTGGTGTCTTCGCCTCTAAAACTAATAAAGACATCATATATCCATTGAGGAGGAAAATAAGAAGTCAAGCTTGCTTGTGTGCCGATGGAAGCCATGGAAATCTCAATAGTAACAAATGCCGATCCCTTCTAGCCCCAACCAGAATGGTTCAGTGGGTTGGTTTGCAGTAAGAGCCTTCTCCTGCGTTCCAACACAAAGCAAAAGTGAGAGAAAGGAAATGGCAACAAATTTGGCAAATATTCTAGCTATTAGCAATTTCAAGCCGCATCGTAATTATACTTAGAAATAAATAAATAACACCAAATTTCCACAAGAAGTACATGAATCTAGCAGAAACAAAACAAGTGGGAAGAGTTGACTAACTAGGCACTAGAGAGGCGCTGGATCTAACCAAGCCAAGCCAAGCCAATTTTTCCTTCTTCTGGTCTCTTTTCAACTAAATTCCAGATCCTCCTATCCCTTTCCGTTTTGATTGTTTTTCTCTTTGCCTTTCTTGGACAATCACTTCGATGGAGGAAAAAAAAAACGAAAATGAAAGTGAAATCTAAAGCGTATTGGGCAGTAGGCTTAGCAAAAGCCATGGTCAGGTCTTGTCCTTCAGCAAATGAAACAACATTCCCCTTGCATCGTGTTTGGAATTCCATTCAATTCTCGAGCTAGGCATCTATGTTTTAAAATTAATCACTTCGGACTACCCTTTGTCTCTCTTCCCTTCTTGCTTCTCTCTCACTCACTCCAGTGCCTCATCTTTTGCAAATCACCTCGATTCTTCAAACACTTCAAAACACACTGCAGTTTCAAATTCCTTTAAAATTGCTAACTTTACGCAAGTAACTCAAATTTTCCTTTAAAACAACAAATCAGTTTTTCATTTTTCACATCGACATGAACATATTGCATACCTTCTGTATCAGCTTCAATTCCTTCAAAATTCCATTGAAGAGTTGTCCACTAAGTTGGGCAAGTTGACTCGCTCCCGGTCTTGAAACTCAATTGCAGCATTTCCTTCCAGGAAATGATGCCTTTCGGTCCAGATGGTGATATACCCAATGGATAGCAACAAAAGTGTTGAGCGTTGTTAGGTCCATGCCCAATTTAGGCCCAACTTTTAATCTAAGTTTACAGTCTCTAATCCAAGACCCAACATTCAATCCAGGTTTAAAGTCTCTAACCCAAGACCCAACATCCAGTTCAGACGGAATAGATTGAAAAATGTTTCTGACGTAACAACGAAACCAACAGCCTTTGAGTTAAAAAAATCATGGAGCATAGACGCTTGGCACAATTAAATTATTGATAAATACAAGAGATAACAGTTCTAAGAAATAAGAAATAAGTCAACGAGAACTTAACGGAGATTTAGCAAAAATTTAGCGTTTGTAAGACTAAATCAAGACAGTAACAAAAAAACATAAAGCATTACAACCTGGACTGAATAGTTGCAAAGAAACCTGAAACATTGCAAAAGAGCATGATAAAATACAGAAGAATGCGGTCCATTGCAAAGATCATGCATGAAGGATCAGAAAATCTATAAATACAAACTACAGCAAATGGAAACAACACATATAACAACATACAAACAAACTCAATTTACAAATCGCAAACAGCTCCCAAAGTACTTGTCATACAAAATTAGGCATGTTGCCTACAAAATTAAAAAATAAAAATAAAAAAGAAGAATGTCAAAAAAAATAAAATAAAAAATGGCATGTTGCAAAGTTTATTTTTCCATGAATTTTAAGCATTTTTATAAATTGTTAGCATTTTAATTTCTTAAGATTATCTCCTAATTTAATTTTTTAAAAAAGAAAAAGAAAAAGAAAATAATTTTGGATCCAATTGAAAAGAATGTGAAAAGTGAAGACCAAATGATATTCAATTAGAAATGTAATTGGAAAGAAATAAAAATCAAGAACCTTAATTGAGAATTAATCAATGTGGAATTGAAAAAAATAAAGAAAATAGGGATTAAACAATTTCAATTAAGAAACTAATTGGAGAAAAAATAACAAAATGTACATTGAAATTGAAAGAAATGAACCAAGAAAGAATCAAGATTGATTTTGTCATAATCCTAAAAACCTCTATACAAACAAACTTTCACCTCATTTTTTAAGGAGAGTCACAACTATTCATCTCTCTATCCAAAAAAATCCTATCCTTCATTATCCATCTTCCTACCCCAAAAAACTTAACCTCTACTTGTCCATCACTCTTACCCATAAAAAATCTAGCTAAAAAAAAATATAAGAAGGTTACTATTCATCATCTCTTTCAAAATACTTGCATGCACACACAACCACAAGCTCAAGAAAAACTAGAGAAATTGTCTACCTAAAAAAAGAGGAAAAACCAAACGACTTCTTAAATCACAACCAATGCCGTCGACTCATGGATCCACTCGATAACATTCTCTCCCCAAAAACCACCACTCCGTGGCCATCTCTACCCCCAACAACCACCATGAACTTTTAGCCCGAGCTTCGGATCAATCATTCTCTACCCGTTGGAGAGGAGAAAGACGTTGGATGAGGTTAGAAATTGGAGGAGAAGGATAATGAACCCAACCCGTTTCATGACTCATTAGATCCGGATACAAGTTCTTCCCAAATTGGCCATGTTCCGACCATATCAATGACAACCACCACCATAGAACGGCTCCCCGTCCTCCGAGTAACCCTTCTCTACCAATATAAGTGACGTAAACAACGAGAAAATAAGGAAGACAACCACGATTCAAATCCGTGTCACCCACAACTTGTAACCTATTTTTCTTCTCTATTTTCCGGCCAAATCAAACCATTCAATGACAAAAATGAAATTCTATTAAGTCCCAAGAACATTTTTTATCGATTTGGAGCCTTGGAAGTTATTAAATTCAATCAAAATTGACGAAAGAAGAAGAAGGAGATCGAGTCGAAACTTGTCAACCATCAATCTCCTTCCTCGAAGCAACGATGGTTGTCGCTCCTAGAACCAACGACTTCTGCATGGGTGTTCCCTACATGGCATAATGGTCCACATGTTGATTGGTGGATGGACGAGGGGCAACAACCTTTGACGATAATCAAGGGTAATTATGTCATTTTTACACCGGGGTAATTCTATCTTTTTTCAAAAAACAGAGGTATTTTTTGTCATTTTTTAACATATTTATTGACCATTTGATTTGTTTCTCTTATCTTTTTTTTTTAATTATTTTATTATGTTGTTTTGTAATAATTATTCATTTTAGGTGTGTTAGAAAATATAAAAATATTTAGATTATAAATTTTTTCTTCATAGATGGATTTTCATTTGGTTGTGATATCGGACCAACGAGTCTCCTAGGTATAGGGACGGATGGTTGTCTCGATATATTTTATCCAATAATAAAAATGCTAAAAAATTAATAATAAGGGCCTTTTTCGTTATTAGATTAATTAGAAAAATTTAATTCGACCTAACGACTCTCCTATTTGAATAAAAGCTGATATTAACCTTGATCCACCATAAATAAAAAAGAAATAAACGAAAGAGAATTAGCTAGGATAAGTGCAAAATCAAAATAAAACATGTTTAGTCTAATTAGGAAAAAGAATAAAAAAGAAAGAAAGAGTTTTAAACTAGTCTAACCGAGTCTCTTATCTAATAGGGATCGACGTTATTAATTAATAAAAATCAATCATCCATAGTAATTAGGTCGTTCTCTAACATATCGGTTATATCAAGACTTTAACTAGATCCGAGATTGAATTGACGATACTCTCAACGATGAGATCCGATAATTGATTCAATATGATGTCATAAATAAATAAAAAATTAATTTGGCTTCGGTAATAAACTTGGAAATTGACTATAATTTCGCATAAATAAATTTTAGGAGATAAAATTTTAGAATTAGATCGGACGTGATACTTTTCTTCGAAAAAAAGTGTTTTTAAGTGATTGATATCTTTATAAATATATAATCAACTCCTTACCATAGAATCTCTAAACTAGCATTATTTTTAGATTTTCTAATTCTTTTTAATACTAGGTGGTGATTCCGAAACATAGGTTAAGTCACATCCTTAATAAATAATCAAAAACAAAATAAACAATCATTTTTACTTTTTTGAAAGTCTCCTTGATGTCAAGTAGTGACGGCATGGTGAATCCACTAGGGATTCGGAATTAAGTCATAGGTTTAGTTTTTTTAAATTTAGCTCCTTATTTGTTTTTGCCATTTATTTTCCAAGTTCTTTATTTTAATTTTGAGTTATTTATTTTATGTAATTTATTTTTTTATTTTAATTCTTGTATATATTTATTTCAAGTCATTTATTCTATACAATTTATTTCTTTATATTTGATTTATGTACATATTTATTATGAACTTAGTTGGATATATTTGCTTTAAATTATTGCGGACACCATAAGAAAAGTCTGCGAAGCTTTAGACTTAAGCTAAAATCCTTTAAGATTTAGATAGAGAGATTCAAAGACAAGTATAATGAAAGTCTATTAATGTTCATCTACACTCTCGTTTAGACTAAAACTCATCCTATGCGTAGGAGATTGTGAAATGACTTTTTCATAACTCTTGGAATATAAGGTTGGAGGCTTGATTACCCCACTAGTAATCTAGACAATTTGAAAACTTGAAAAGACTTTCGGATTAGACAAGTTTCACCTAAACCCTATTTAGAAAGTCATATCCAAAGACTTATGGAATGACTTTTTCATAACTCTTGGTATATAAGGTTAAAGGCTAGATTACCCAACTAGTAATCTAAACAATCCGGAGACTTGAAAAGACTTTCGGATTAGACAAGTTTCACCTAAACCACTGTTTAAAAAGTTATATCCTATCTTTTAAGATTAACTCATTAAGACACGGATTATTTTATGATTTTTTCCATTCCAACCTTTCTTTTGATAGTTTATTATCAAAACAAATCATGATAGAAAAAGTGAATAATGCTATTGAGAATTTTAGGATCGGATCGGAATGGGACTAGTTTGAGAACGAAGATTGTCTACCCTCGGATTTTGTATCGAAGCTACAAAAAAAAAAAAGATGGGACTTGTGAGTAACAAATACACCATTGAAGAGGAGGTCGTACTTTTT